AAAATTAAAAGTTTTTTAAGTATTTACAAAAGAAAATATAAAAATATCTCTAATGTTTAAATTAGACTAACATTAGTGAATGCTCTGCTTCGGAACTGGCTTTACTGAGAGCTTCTTTTCCTGAAATGCCAGAAGGCCATATCCATTCATTCCAACTAGGAGTTACTTTGTCATGGATTTCTGCTTCAGTTTCATCAGTTTCACCTGTTTCCAATACGGAAGCACTCAGAATTTCTTGGTCGTCAAAATAAGATTCAGTTAACCCGCAATATGACTTGAAAACATAAATTCAACAAAAATTTATTAGTATTAGATAATTAATTTTCATTATAAAAATTTTTTTTTAATCTTGTCTATTATATTTGGAGGGAATGAAGAGCATATATAGTGGTGGTGAAGGAAAGAGTTGTTGTAACAGTGAGGAGGATGATTGTGGTAATAAGTAGGATGATGTGATTTCGAAACTTTCCTCCCACTACTTAATTGATATTATTCACCTTATTCAGAATTGGAATTCTTGAAGGTTTAGGTTCAAAAGCACCGCTTCTAATTACATCAAGAAATTAAATATTGAGTTAGAGTGACGGTAAGTGGCAAGCGATAACCACCATCCTTAAAACACTTACACTTTCGTTGTTTCTCCAGATGCATATTCTTTGGTTCTTTTAATTTTGCGTGACATTATTTTTTTTTTTTAAAAAAGGAAAAAAAGAAGTTTGTTATTTGATCTAGAGCTTCTATTCGTAATATATATACAAATTTTTATTCGAATTAAAAAAGTTTATTCGAATTAAAAAAGTTTATTCGAATTAAAAAATTTATTCGAATTATTTGTTCTATTCAAATTATTTGTTTTATTTGAATTATTTGTTTTTTTATTTGAATGGTTCGTTTTATTCATTTTATTTGTTTTATTTGTTTTATTTTTATTCATTATTGGAATCATGGATTGTTCAATTACTTAAGTGTAGGGGAATCACGTGGTATATTTAATAATAAACAATGGCAATAATAATAATAACGCATGCAATAAATAATGGAAAAATCAGAATGGCATTCTTTGATTGGCTTGTGGCACGTCACAAGCCAATTGTTAATTTTATTAACGTGATTATTGACATGTGATGCATGCAATAACTGGTTTATTGTATGTTGGAGTAAACACTTATTCAGAGCTTAAAATGCACATTCTTTTTTATCATTATTAAATAATTTTTCAAATCCTAAATTTTATTGTTCCA